TAATATTATAGTGCATATTTATGCAAGTTTAAGTGGCATAAAATCTCAACACTAGTCATTACTCATTACCCACCATTTTTGAAATAGGCGGTAAAATTTTACAATCTCCTTGATATTTCTTTTTTGACAAACATAGACCTGTAAGTCTAACTGTAGGTCTATGCCGATAACACACGCTTGCCGACAAACTGATAATGTTAGTCGAATTTATGATTCTGAACATTATCAAAATGTTAATTGAAAAAGATAATTTTAAGTTATATTATTATTATTATATTTAAGACTTTAGAGCTTTTAATTTTTTTATTTTGCATATCCTATTAAATATTATTTTTAAATTGTTGTGTATTATAACTCGTTCTTTTTTCGGCACGGGTTACTGTTCACGTTCTTATGAACGTAGTGTGATCGTTGTGAACACAATATAATTTTATCGTCATGGACAAAATATTGTACATCGTCTCGGCAACGCATTTGGTTCTTTGCCCGTTCACCAAAGTTGAAGAGAGTTTCAACATACAAGCGATGCATGACATTTTGTACTTTAAGACCAATTTATCTCAGGTGTGTGTAGACAAGTWGTATTGACAAGTTCCACTRCAAATTTTGGAATTCCGAATAGCGTTGGGTGTTTGTGCCAAGATGTCATGCCAAGAATCATTTTGAATTATTAATTTTAAATAATGATATTTTGGYTAGAATGCTTAATACTATTAAAAATATTTGTTCTTTATAAATTGATGAACGTTATCTTTTCAATTTTTAATGCATTACTTTTTAAAAATAAAACAATCCAATTCAAATCTTGAAGAACATTTCAATTAACAATAATTTTCTGCCTATAGCTACAAGATGATACCCACAATTGAATAACTTATTAAGTTTGATTAGCTTATTTAAAAAAAGTCATTCTTATAATTTTATGTAGGCGAACTAAAATTATTGATAATATTCTTCGTACAATATTAATAGGTAAATTTAATTTCTGTATATTTTTTTATATATTTCCCTATTAACTGATTCCCACCAAAATAAATAAAAAATAAAACATAAATTTAATCAATATTTTAGCATGAAGTTAATACTTTTCCAACATGAATCTTGTAAAATGTAAAAATTTGAAT